GCCAGCTTTCACATGAGGCCGTAACATGAGACACCCTCTCCTCTTGTACTGATAAACCCTGCAAAGGATGCAACTTACATCAACGTCAGCTATGGATGTTTTCACTGGCACACATTCATCCGATGAGCACGGGGCAGCCGGGCAAGATATTGAAGACGTAAGGGGGATATGTACATCTGATAAGGGAGGTGCACTGAATATACGAGGAGGACGGCTAGTAGCTAGTTGATATGCGGCAGCAAATGCGCAACTTTTTTCTTTCAATGGGTTCACCTAAACAAGTAGGAGTAGGCTAAGAGACAAAACCACAGACTGAAACAACTGTGCTAGAAAACTCACCTGTTCAGTGAGCTGCTGGATCTGGCCTGCGAATTCTTTTTTGATGACTTCAATGGCATGGAAAACAGCCTCCTTGAAAAAATGAACAAATAATAATAAAACAAAATTGCAGTAGACTACCCCCATAGATTTAAGCGCCTAAACCTGCAAATGGGCGCGACTTGCTTCGCTCTTCTTACGAAAACCAGACAGCCCTTTTTGAGCTACCTTTCAGAAAAACAGCTAAATTTTTGGCCCACCAACATAGTTAAACAAATCTTCCGGATCTGATGTGTTGTACAAATCACTAGTACAAGGTAGGTGCGGGCACAGTTCGGCGAGGTGGGCGCATTTTGCAGAGGAAATGTTTTTCACGACATAAGCTGGTTCAAATGGATTACTTTCAAGAACAGGAACATTCGAAGAAACCTAGCGAGCATCAGCAGACGACGCGCAATCTCACCCCAAGGGGCATAGGGACCCCGGGGCAACGGGAGGTATCTTGCACTTTTGCTACTTCCAATCGACAAGTCGAACCATCTAGGAAGCTATTTCGTGAGGTCACAAGAACTGAGAGGTCTTACCATGGTGGCTCGACGAGCTTGCTAATGCCGCCTCCCCTCACCAAACTGCACCCACACCCCTACTATAAGAGGTTCCCAGTTTTGCAGAACATTTTCCAGTTTTTTTCCCGAAAGGTGAGAGGGGGAGGAAGAGGTGGTGGATTCCTAACTTCTAAAATCATCTATCAAAAACAGTATTCATGTTGTGGTTTTGAGGCCCCACCAACTATGGCGGGGAGCAGATAAGATTCCCCTCTCCCCACCCCCTTCCCGCACTTAAAAATCGAAAAGAGGAAATAGGGGGAACTTTGTGGAAACAAACTTGAGACAGAGTGCGGTCCCGGAAATCATGTATTATTCAGGATTAAATAACTCACCACTCCTAATTGAGACTCCCAACCAGGCTGCTCACATTTCAACTTCTTCTCCATTTCAGCTAGCTGTGCCCTATCACGTTTTCGTTGTTCTTCCATTCGTTTTCTTTCATTTGCTATTGTGGAATCCTACAAAATATACCCTCTAGAAGACGCTTCGACCTTGCTAGAAAGTCCTAGCCATATGCTGCAACACTTTGCCATTAAAAACCATTACCTTATTAGCTAATTTCCTTTCCCACTCCAACTTTTCCACTTTCCACATACGCTCCTTTTCACGAGCTGCGGAAAGCTCCCCCTCCATTCTTCTGAAAAGAGCATTTTAATAAGCAGTACAACTTAAAATACAAAACTTCAACATTCCATTCAAAAGCATGTTTATTCGGCGCTCATTGAACCCCTTCTCAGATACGCTATGCATTCGGATTCCATTCATAATCTTAATGGCGCTAAAACATACTTGGCTTACTATTCCCTATGGAACGAACCTAAAGGGCAGTATTTTATTACATAAAAAGAATATGGTAACATTTTAATTTCCATCAATAGAAGATATGGTTGGTCTGGACGAACCGATCCTGCAACCATGTGGCTAACTGACGAAACTTGTCAGTACACCTCTCCCCAAGCGAAACTGCAGAGACGTGTGCGAGTTCTTTCACTCACTCACGAACTAAAGCTAGATCTCGAAGCGAATTTTGTTTGGATCAACCAACCCTCCTGTTCTTCCAGGACCAGCTGATTAGCACCAGTTTCATATAGGTCTTTGTACAGCTGGCCCAAGCCACTTTTGGTGGTAAACAGACATTAAGCATATGACTACGATCTCTGATAAAAGTCGAACTTGTGGCGCATCCCAAAGCGGCTCAGCGTTTATACAAGACACTAAGCGAATTATCCTTACCCTCACTACATATATCAGATCTATCACTATCTTGAAGAAGCTCTTTTTCTGTATTATCGAGAAATTTGCTAACGCTTAAGCGGCTTAACTTCAGGGTCGTTTGCTAAGGCCTTTCAAGGTATTATGGCCCAAGACGTCGTCAATTAAATAAACGACTGGAAAGGGTTTACCAACCATAAAGAATGTCCCTTGCAGCTAACTCAAGGAATCGATGTTTGGTAAATGAAAAATATATGCTGCGTGGTCAAGCGTAGCGGCCACATGGTGGCAATCTCAGTGTGACTTCCGCCCCCCCCCCACCTCGTTCTCCAAGTGACAATTAGCAAAATAAATGGTGAGAAGAACCCCGATTGCGCCACTCAAAACCAGAAGCCTGTAGCATGGTACTTCACAATCACCTTCCCCTTTCCTGCTTGTACTAAAATGCGACTTTTCAGATGTCACTGAACCCTACCTCGCTAACAACTTGGTAACCTACGCATGACCATGCTAACTTTTCTGGTAAATACTTGACAGTAGATTGTGGGGAGATGTTACACAGTGAACACATCAGTGAGCGCGGTCCCCGTCATCGCCCTTCCTTTTCGTGAAGGATTTTTTTGCAATATGGGAACCAGAAATTCTCTCCGGTGGTACATTCCCCTCTCTCTTTCCCATGCTATTGGCTATTTTCCTAAGTTTTCCGAAATTCCTAACACGCCCTCTATTTTCCTAGTTATTCAAGGAAAAAAACTTTTTTTAGCCAAAAAGCCGCCGAGGAGCTAGAGGCCGCCGCTAGTGCAGTAGTTGCATATGACTTGGGCCACTTGTAACCAACTGGGAAAGAATAACCGCGACTTGTAACCAACTGGGAAAGAATAACCGCGAAAGGTCAACACCGCAGAAAATCTTCTCGTGCGCCAAAAAAATGTTCCTAGGGCTAGCATGTTCCTGACGCACGACTTTCAATGCGAGACCCACGCAGGAATAGCCCCGGGAGCCTTGCAACGTTGTGGATAACTCGCGTAAAACAGGATAACTCCACCATCAAAGAATATTTTAAAGCCAAATACACCCCCCCCTACCTCCAGCGACCAAATACGAACCCTCTCGTCGGGTTTATCAGCGCATCTGCCTTGTCCGTCGCACATAAGAAAGCATGAACAAAACTTGCTCTATTTCTCACTGAAGACTAGGCTGATTCTAATTCATACTTGTATTCTGCCAATCGAAGGTCGAGGGCCGATTGTATATTTTCGACTTCTCTCTTCATCGACGTGACAAGCTGAGCGGCATCGTCTTTCCTAAAATAGCAAAAGACAATTCAAACATCGATCGCTCATAGAAAATCTACGAACAAAACATCAAATTCATAAACGTACTAATCGTTTTATACTCACTCTTCTCTGCAAACACGATTTTTCTCCACCAGCTCTTCGCATTTCTTTCCTAGCACCTCATTTCTTTTCGTCAGAAATGACACCTGTTCCGTGTTTGCCGACAGGTGCATTTCTGTCTGCTTCAGAACCTGAATTCGATCGAACTCTTTGCAATCCGATTGTCAACTTACACTCGTAGGAAATATAAAGGGAATTCTGGTTGAGCGCTTTAAGGCAGGTAATGCCACAATGTGGGGATATAAATGAACGTAACAGAGCGTTCATACTGGGCGCTGGTGTTTCGTAAGCCCGGCACAGTCCACAGTCAGGGTAGGCTGAACCGATACCCACCTTTCCTAGTTTCTCAAAAGCCAAAAACACTGCCGTTCGCTCAAAACGTGACGCAAAGTGTGAACGCACTCCAAGGGTCTTTTACAGCAGTGTTCACACCAAGCTGAATAACGAACCTCTATGACCGCCTCCTTCTCCTTGCGAACCGTAGCGACTTCATTTTTGAGAGAGGAAATCACCTGGAACAAAAGAACGCTGTTAGAACTTCATAAGCAACCATAGAAGGACAAAGGGAGCCTAACCGTATGCATATATCTGTAACCTCTAAGCAGAATCTGAAACCCTCGGTACACCATTTTGCGCAAATCCCTTTTCCGAATACTGATTTTCTTTTTAAGTAAAGCCACACTCCGCCTACCTCCCCCCTCCCCACTACCCCTCCCCACGCAATCGTCGAGAAAATTACGGAAAAGTTCGGATATTAGGCTAAGGTTAAAAATGTTTGGGAGGGGAAGGTGTCGGAATTTGTAAAGGGGTATGTGACACGAGTTGCCGCGCACGGTTGCACGATACACCGCGCGCGACGACGCGCAAGTTGTACCGAGACTCTCCTTTTGGAAGGATCGTGCTGACATCGCACGCCCTTTGACCCATCCCGATGATCTCCCACTCTCCCTCCTCAACTAGCCCCGCTCCAGCTGCATTGCTGCCCACTGATGCTAGGGCATGTCAAGGGGGCTGGTTTTAGTGCGACGCCAGGCCGTTCTTTGCCAGTAGGTAAGAGGGCGAACGACAACAACTGAGGGAAAACGAGCTGGCGCTGCGCCAAACGCGGCCTCGTCCCAGCATCTGTGACGAACAAGGCTGCAGAATAAGACGAGAAAATCAACAAACCTGTGAACTCTTAGTCGAAGCTTGTTGCAGTTTTTGACAATTGAGACGAGACATGGATAATTCTTGCTCGAGATTACTACGAAGAACAGCACCATTGCTGAAATACGCGATGGATACTGAAACATACAAAAGTATTACGAAAGGCCATCCACCTGAGCTCATTCTCGAGCGCCCTGATCCGTATACTTGTACAGCTCAACTCGTTTCGCAGATTTACTACTTCGGCTTCGAGAATGTTGTTAGTCTCTAGCAACGATGTAGCTGTCGGTCCCAAATTCCTAAAAAAAACTTCCATGAAAAGTGAAAATTCATCGACAACAGTTCCTTAGCTGACGTACGTAAAGTTTGGATTTATATGTACTCGACCGGACTTTCTCTCGCGGCTCCGACTACGACCCCTTGAACGAGACCTTTTGCGATGATGGCGATGCTGAAACACGAGTAATAGCGCAAGAAACCGAGCTATAGACAAATGCCTTAACCTTGAGACGGCGTTCAGAAGTCGCTATGAAGCGCGTCGACGCGTTGCAACACACAAGTGACGCGCATCGACTTGTTGCAATTGAAACAGCGCTACAAAGATGTAGACGCAAAGCAGCAGCAGACGGAACGTTCCAACCGATCTCAGTCTCGTGACTGGGCAAGACGTACCTTCCTATTCCCACACTCTTTCGAAATACACGACCAGGGCTCACCGATTGCCCTCTGCGGCTGCGTTCCCTGACGGGAATCGATCGACGTCGGCTATCTGCGGCTGCGTTCGCGTCTATAGCTTTTTCACAATTTTTGTGCATCGACGCGTGTCACCGTGCAGTCTGAACGCTGCTCAAGACTTGTTGATAACAGCATTTTTGAACTCGTGGAGTACGAAGCACGACAACAGCCGTTTTCGTAGTAAAAGGGTTTCAGAAACAGTAAAGTAACCTGATGGAACGCTCTGAGCTCACCATAGTTCTGACCTGGTCTCTCACAGTGGTCGAGCCCTCGCCCTTTCGTGAAACATGTCCTCCTAGTTTCAAACCTCTGTATGGATCTCCAAGAGTTAGTGGTAGGATTACGAAACTTCGTGTATGAGCGCGTTCAGACTTCGCGATCGCGCTACTGAGGGTGAAATTACTGCGGGAGGGGGTCATGTTCGTTCATGTTCAACTCAACTCAACAAACAACACAACAAAGTTCTGGGAAGGGAGCGTACTAATATCACCATTTCTCACATCACGATGCTGTATCCTGCCTCCAATAGGCAGTTCCAAAAACGATATAAAAGTAAGTTCGACCTTTTTTGATGTCTTTTATTCCGTGTTCATATTCGCAATACTGACGTTTGCAGAAACCGTCGAAAGGAAAGGTTGTGTATAGACCTGGAGGATGGCAGAACAAACAAAGCAAAACACAATGTGACAAAAGTAAAGTGAATATCTGGAGGACTGGCAAAATCGGGGGAAGGGAGAGAAACAACATCACCCGCTGTTAAAAGTTCTGCGTGTCTTACTTTTGGAACAAGATGTTCAACACTCCGCTTGAACGTACCAATGCAAAATTCAGATCAATAATTAGCATATTGTATATTTAGTACTATTTTACATAGGAAATAATAAATAACTCAAAGATATTTCGAAACGTTCTTTAAAATTAGGAGGGCGTTATGTACACAAAGGAAGAAAGAAGGAAAAAGAGAGAGAGCAGGATCAATAAACATATACGCACATAACCCCCTCCCGCAGTAATTTCACCCTCAGTAGCGCGATCGGATCGCGCGCGATCGCGAAGTCTGAACGAAAAAACGAGGGCGCTCTTATACTCTGAAGCATGGCAACGTAACTGAGAGGGAGGGGATGGGCAGTAAGAGAGGTAGTCGCGCAGACTTTAGTCGCCTCCTGGATGAGGCCGTGATCACATCTGCTACACCGGCGAACAAAAGAATCGGAGTTCACCGAAACTGGCACAAAGATGAGAATCTGACTCATTCAATGAACAAAAAACTGGGAATCAATCGGTCCCTATCTATTTCTTTAGCGCGCTATCTCCTTATCTCCTATTCTTCAGAATTTCACAAAGTTCTAGCGCCGCCTAAGCATGGGCCGTGCAGCAGGTCTCGGACGCGTTCATGGTTCCCGATTCTATCGCTTGGGTAGCGCGCTTACGACCGCTGAAACGGTTCTCCAACTGGCGCTGGAGCGCTCGCGGCTGCGCGATTCAAGCGATCAGATTGCGAAGTATGGACGCGCTATCATAAGTATAGCAACTCCGAAAGACGACTTATTCTGGCGCACATCCATGGTGTTGCAACTGGATAATTGGCAGTTAAACTACTATCGAGAAAGGTTATCCTCGCGAAACGTTGGGCTCAATAAAAAATCTCACCATAAATAGGGTTATCTTCAAAGCAGACAAGATTATAAGTTGAGGAAATCAGGGTGCACACAGAACCCCGAAAACTGCGCGTGAAAATAAATATGTCGCGTCATGAACGCACACAATCGGGCATACCGTAATTCGGATCAGTTGCCCAAGCTTGTAGTAGCTTTATACGTCTTTCGGGTAACCCTATTAAATGTTTCATCATCGACCTCGACGTTGAGGCTGATGTCGTGATGTAGCCCACAATACGCCCTCTTGCGTGCATTCATGGCTCGACTCATTTAATTACACGCGCAAATTTCAGGGATACTGTATAACCCTGCCTTCCTGAACCTATCAATATTGCTCAAACCAGTCTCAAATTCAACTCAGAGACTTCTGCAATCCCCGATGTTTTTTAACACCGAGCAGGAAGGTCAAAAATTGTAATCTGTTATAGTGTTGGCTTATGTTCCAGGCTAATGACTGGGCGTGGCACAGACGGCGGAACATGTTGATTGAAAATCAGCTAAGTTTTGACGGGTACTTGACGCGAACTCACGTGGTACACCGTCGACGGACTTGATTAGGGTAATGGGAATATTTCGAGGCATTTTTTCTCTCGTCTCGAAAGCCGGTCGCCTCCGGATCGTCCCAGTGCGCCATGTCTCCTTGTATTCCAGCATTATCATTAGACTGCTACATCACCTTGTCTACCTTCTTTGGACACTACGTCGCATTATTTGTTTTGTAATTGTATTGAACACATAGCACGATAATTTGGTACTTCCATACAGATAGTAGCACGGTGCTATATGGCAATGGAATGACAAAAAAAGCGAAGTCAAACGGGTGAAAGCCCGCGAAAAACCTTTGTTCTGCAAGGCGTCGGACGAGCTTTCTGGACGAGTTCCCCGTCGGCATCGTGCCAGCAACCTCTTTGATAGATATGGCTGCACATATGTATTCACACCTCCATGTAACAACATTGCATACAAGTTGTACCCGATAAATCAAGCGAGAAGGGGAACAACGTCGATGTTATTGCCCGTCCAATTATGGCCGGACGGATTCAACATGTTACAGCTTAGCAGGCCGCTATAAGGGTATCTCCGTTGGGAAAGACGCCTCGAAGCGCCCGCTCAGAGGCAACGAATTCTGTCTTGGTTGGTGTATTTATCCTGCAGCCTTGTGGATTTACCGTGCATTTGCTTTTGAATATTTGAGATCCCTGTCAAAATCGAGTAGTCCTACCCACTCACTACCACTAGCATTGATCAATCTCTGTAATGCAGTTTCTCAAGTGAAAGCGCAAACCTTTTTGGAGCTGTGTCGATGCTTCCGTTTCCGACTTCGACTGCGTCGTCGCTCACACTTTTCATCCTCTTCCTCTTCTTCTTCATAGTCACTTGGTTCATCATAGTCTTCCTGAATACGTATGCATCAAAACTAAATCAGAGAGTTCTGCTCGAAAACCCAAGATGTTCCATTCACCTCTTTACATTTTCCATTCATCGTTCCATGAACTTGCATACAGAATAGAACTATTACCTATGATTCCCGGAAAGCGATGCTAATTAATTTTTATTCTCGAGAAAAAGTGCGCATGTAGATAATTTCAATTTAAAAAAATGTTTGGTACACTATCCGAGAACCATACGTTTACCTATGCTGAGCAAGTCGCATTAGATAGGAAAGGCAAATGAACCTGAAAGATCAGTTATCAAGTCCTTTAAAGATTCATCACTATAAGGCACTTCCGAGTTCAAAATAATTAGCTGCGTGGCTCAAATACTGTAGGGACACCACGGTAAGTCACAAAAAAGTAGGAAAATAAGCAGAACCCCCTCCCCGAAATGGCCTCCTTTTGTACGTGCTGAGGTTAAGGGCGGGGTCGGACGAGTTCTCCCTTGTTGGCATCAGCTATTTCCATTGATTTCCTCACTATCACCATTCGAAACGTAGACAGGTAACAGCGGAATCACCGCACCACCAGTAAACCTCCAAAAATGGAATGTGACCAGTGGGCGGAGCCGTGGCCTCGTCCCGAACAGGTGCACTTTCCTCACGATTTTTTGAGCTGTGAAAGAGCACATCCTCCATACTTGCGCTCAGAAGTACCAGTTCAAAGACAGACCCTAAATATCGATTGAATGCGGGTAATATAATAATCTTTGACGTAATTTTGATGATATGGATTCTCATTTTACTTTTTATGGCGAAGGAAAAGAGTTTCAAGAGTCTTTGATGGATTTCTGCGGAACAGATGATTATGTTCGAACCTATCCGTTTCATTTTCTCTAGGGATACCCCTCCCTCAGGCATATAAACAATAAATCCACGCGTGATTTCGAAGAAATTGGAGGAGTTCTCATCAATTCCAGCATACCCAGTGCACATACTAGTTTTGTAGGGCTTTCCCGAAATATTCCACGTAATAACGACTTGATACACAACAAACTAATAAAAAAATTACAGGAATTAGTCACTGAGAACGTTTGCGGCCCGATCTGAACAAGTTTATAGGGCCCCTGAGGTGCACTTGCTGGTGGTCCCAACACGACGACACCGTATTCTTGTGATGATGCTCCCTCGGGCGCCGATTTCATCACTCCTTCATCATATTCTCAAATCTTGGTTATCAGCGATATGTGCTTCGCTGATTGCTAGATTTGTGAGATCTGCTGCAAGTTCTTCAGTTGTATCAGACGTGAGTTACTTGTTCTGTTTCTCATTATTTTCCTTACGAACATGGCACGAATAGAGGCTGGATGAGCGCTGCTGGTTTTCGAAACTTTCGTTACGTTAATTAATTTCATTTATTTTCGTCACTAGTACTATCAGTTCCTTTGTTAATACACGTTATGTTCATATTCGTCAGCGGAGTGAACGAAGAGGTTGCCTAGTTTAAGCCAAAAGAAGCCGTTGATTACGTCATGCTTATTTTCGCTCTCCTGTTTATTCAGCAGTAGGACTTACTTGTTTTGCCCCATTCAATGGAATGAACATCTCTAAATGCTTTCTAAGTTTATCTGGGTCGGAAAATCTTTCGTGCCCTACTGTGCCCTTACACACCTGGACTCCGCGCAAGCAGGATAAGCAGCGCGTGGTGAGCATCGCATGCGTTATGGAAACAGGGCGTATTGGCGTGTTGGACCGCTATAGAGAGGTCCTCCTCCTGCATGAAAAAATGTTCTCCTGATTGTAGTTTTTCAGTTTCACATACCCCTAAAGCGGCGCAAAACTTCCTGGTAGTTGGTGTTCCATCCCAACTCCCCTCCCCCGGATTTCGAGAAAGTTTAGCAAGTTGGCCGTAGGATGGGAAGGGGAGCGTACCAGAGTTCAAACTTTAAGGTTTTTTGATAGTGTTCAACTCCTCTCTTCCTGAAACCTGCTCGTTGTAATCTTTGCAGATCTGGATTTCATCCTGGCGCCTCGACAGGATCGTCGTCCTCAAAGGCCTAAGAACATAGCTCAAGGCTTTAGCCTCTGAAGAGGTGTTGGCAATTTGTTGTACCCTTTACACCGCTAAACGCCTCGCACACCCTAGCGTCGACGAAATTCAGAAGAACTACCGATGAACCCGAAAGGAAGAAACGAACATACCAGTCCACCACCGCGTGGGCGGAACGATTCCACTCGCTGTTAGTTGCAGTTTGTAAGTGAAAAATAGGGTGCTGTCCCAAAGTAGAAGCATAGCTAAGTTGTACGTCTCGCTTTTCTCAAGAACAGCTCGCCATCCGCTCGTGCGGTGGTATATTGGTAGATTAGTCTCTTCCATTCGGTTTTTCTCTTGAAATTTCTTCAAAACCTAGCGAGTCGAGATGTTCAGCGTTACAGACAGTGCAACATCTAGACCTTGAGCCATGATCAAACCTCTGTGAACGATGATCTAGTCGAAATGTCAGGCCAGTTTCACAGGAGAGTTCCACCTAACAACCCGCCTGGCAAAACAAACAAGAGCTGTGAAGTTTGAGGGTTGTATTTTGCGAAATTTTCCCAGAAAGTGAGGATGTGTCCTGTGGAGAAAGGATGATACTTGAAGTTCTTTGCTACACGTCGGTGGTGAAGGGAATCCGTAACTCCACACTCCGCCAACGATCGAAGATCAGAGACGTTGTTTTATTTGCCGAGGAATTAGGCGGCGAGGGGCTGTTTGCGATTTCTGCGACATGCGGTTTTTTGACTGTAGTTTTTTTGGTTTGTTGGACCAGAGCGGTTAGCCGGGATGTGAGAAAGAGCGATTCTACTGGGTTGTCCGGAAAGTTCTCAGCGTTTTGTGTTACTATTTTTTGTACATTCATTGCTGATTAAAAACTCATTCTCCCTTGCGTCTCAGTAGTACATCCTGAAGAGAATTTTTTGCGCTATCTGATGGTATAATTGCCGTTTCACCATTGCTTGATAAACCCCCTTTTTCAAGACTTTTTGAAGCATGTCAAAAGACTTCGGACGATATTTTTCTTCAACTACAAATTGGGTCAATCCGCAGTCGAGACAGCTCGACAAATTAACCAGGTGTGGGGGCCCAATAGTGTTGGAGAAAGCACCGTGCGACAATGGTTCGACAAATTTCGTTCTGGAGATTTCAGCCTTGAAGATGAACCTCGTAGCGGTCGACCTAAAGCAATACCTGACGAGGATTTGAAGGCGTTTGTGGAGGCTGACCCATCCCAAACAGTTCGAGAGATTGCAGAAAAGCTAGGCGTTGGCAAATCCACTGTTGCGGATGGTCTGAAAAGCATTGGGAA